GGGGGTGAAAGTGTCCGGACTGGAAGGGGGGAAAGTGTCCGGACTGGAAGGGGGGGAAAGTGTCCGGGACTGGAAGGGGGTGAAAGTGTCCGGACTGGAAGGGGGTGAAAGTGTCCGGACTGGAAGGGAGTGAAAGTGTCCGGACTGGAAGGGGGTGAAAGTGTCCGGACTGGAAGGGGGTGAAAGTGTCCGGACTGGAAGGGGGTGAAAGTGTCCGGACTGGAATGGGGGGGGAAAGTGTCCGGACTGGAAGGGGGTGAAAGTGTCCGGACTGGAAGTGGTTAAAATATGTATTTTTTTTAATATATTCTTCAGTTTTTTTTTTAAAACTATAAATAAGTCATTTTAACATATATTTTTTACATACATTTATAAATGAATTCCAAAAATGTAGATTTATATTTTTTAAAACATACAGTGTATATATTATATATATACTTCACCAGACTGGAACTAGAAATTTCTTTGCTCATCTAAAACGTCTTTTTTTTCTGTGTAAAATCGCTCTCCCGCTGTGGCAGATTTCAGCCGAACAATGATGGACGTCACATAAACGGAATGGCGATTCTCAGTCCCTGTTTTTTTTAAAACGAAGGGAATGTGAAAACTTCTGCGTCTCGCGGCTCAAGCTGCTCGGCCCGGCTATTATTCCGCTTTAATAAGACGCATAAGTGCAATCAAAGTCACGGCCAAACGAGCCGCCATTGTACGCATATTGATTATCTGAAATGGTCACGGCGCTCTTATTAAAGAGAATGCTGAGCCTGGCCGTCCTGTACTTCGCCGGCTTCCGAACGAGCGCCCGCGGACCGCAAATTACCTTTTCTTCCATTGTCTGGCTGTGGCACATTGTGTGCTGCTAATTCTGAAAAGTTGTTCAAAAGCTGAAAACCGTATATTATCCAATCACCGATAGTCTTGCAGCAGCCATTCAGCAGGAGTACCGATTGCAGGTTTGATTTCTTAAGGAATAATCTTTGGCATATACAGAAGATAGTCACAAGGAGCTGTACAGGATTCTTCTTCTGTTTTAAAGGCCTCTTTATGCTTTGACACACCTCCTCAGACCCTGTCTATCTGTATAGTCACTTGCTGATTTTGCACCATCCACAGGCAGCTTCACTCTCCAATAAGACACAGAAATTGAATCCAACACAATTTTGACTTCAGCTGGTTGCAGTACAGAGGGTTGCTTTTACGGTCTTTTGAAGGGTTATGCAGAAATTGACATTCACAAGCCATGTCTCTGCTAAATACAAATGAGGGAACACGGAAGAAACGGAGGGGGGTCTAGCTAGGACTTGAGCTTATGCTGGCCATAGACGGGTCGAAAATCGGCCGACTTTTCGGCCGAAAAAAAAACTGCCGATTTTCGCACTGTTAGTGGGTTAATTGGTCGGCTGTTTTTCGGGTTTTTTTGCAGTTTTTATATCGGTCATGTTGGAAAATTTGCAGCCGATTTGGACAATCAGACGATTTTCCCGGAAATGATGGGCAAATCGGCCGATCGTTTTGCCGATAAAAAAATCTACGCATGAGCCGTGACCTGGAAGGTTGCCAGCATTTCTTTTTACTCTAAATGGACACACACACATGTATATGTATATAGTTTCTGAAAGTCCAAAATAAATTAAAAAGAAGAAAGAAGAAGAAGAAGAAATAAGAAAGAAGAGGAAGAAGAAGAAAGAAGAAAAAGAAGAAGATGAAAGAAGAAGAAAAAGAAGAAGATGAAAGAAGAAGATGAAAGAAGAAGATGAAAGAAGATGGAGGAAGAAGAAAAGGAAGAAGAAGTAGAAGAAGAAGAAGAAAAAGAAGAAGAAAGGAATAAAGGAAGAAGAAGAAGAAAGGAATAAAGGAAGAAGAAGAACAAAAGGAAGAGGAAGAAGAAGAAAGGAAGAAAAGGAAGAAGAAGAAGAGGAAAGGAAGAAGAAGAAGAAAGGAAGAAGGAGAAGAGGAAAGGAAGAAGAAGAAGAAAGGAAGAAAGGAAAGAAGAAAGGAAGTAGAAGAAGAAGAAAGGAAGAAGAAGAAGAAAGGAAGAAGAAGAAAAGAAGAAGAAGAAGAGGAAAGGAAGAAGAAGAAGAAAGGAAGAAAGGAAGAAGAAGAAAGGAAGTAGAAGAAGAAGAAAGGAAGAAGAAGAAGAAAGAAGAAGAAGAAGAAGGAAGAAGAAGAAGGGAAGAAAGAAAGAAGAAGAAGAAGAAAGAGGAAGAAGAAGAAGAGGAAGGAGAAGAAGAAGAAAGAAGTCCGCTATTATATTTTATATGAAAAAGTCTTGTGGTTGCAACAAATGTATCCAAATAAAAACATAATGTATTTGTATTACTGTCACATTGTACGGTGCGCTCCCCCGTCACATTGTATGGTGCTCCCCCGTATGGTGCGCTCCCCCGTCACATTGTATGGTGCGCTCCCCCGTCACATTGTATGGTGCGCTCCCCCCCCGTCACATTGTATGGTGCGCTCCCCCGTCACATTGTATGGTGCGCTCCCCCGTCACATTGTACGGTGCGCATTGTATGGCGCGCTCCCCGTCACTGCCCCCGTCACATTGTATGGTGCGTCCCCCGTCCCCCGTCACATTGTATTGTATGGTGCGCTCCCCGTCACATTGTATGGTGCGCTCCCCCGTTACATTGTATGGTGCGCTCCCCCGTCACATTGTATGGTGGTGCGCTCCCCCAGTCACATTGTATTGTGGTGCGCTCCCCCGTCACATTGTATGGTGCGCTCCCCGTCACATTGTATGGTGCGCTCCCCCGTCACATTGTATGCGTGCGCTGCGCCCCCGTCACATTGTATGGTGCGCTCCCCCGTCACATTGTATGGTGCGTCACTGCGCTCCCCCGTCACATTGTATGGTGCGCTCCCCTATCTCTGTCAAACTGGTTTCTTGTCCCATTCTTTCATGGACATTGGTGGCAGCATCGGCAACGGCACAGACCCGTCTATGGCCTGCATTACTAGCACTAAACAGGAAGGGAAGACACAGTGGGTTAGCACATCATATAAGTAAACACGTTTTAGTGGCTCTAAATTGCCTAGATAGAGCCAGGCTGCATTTACTCTAGTGACTGTTGGGTTTTGACCGTGTATGGCAGGGGTCAAAACCGGTGGCCCTCCAGCTGTTGCGAAACTACAAGTCCCATCATGCCTCTGCTTTTGGAAGTCATGCCTGTAACTGTCAATCTTACAATGCCTCATGGGACTTGTAGTTTGGCAACAGCTGGAGGGCCGCCAGTTTGACACCCGTGGTGCACAGCATCCGAGGCCTTCCCTCCCCATCATACTACATTAATACATCATTCATTAAAACATCCTTATGGGTCGGTTCACCCCATAGAAACGCAGTCTGCATGCGTGTTTTTGACACATTCCAGGGAGTTTTTGATGCAATTTTGATGCATTTCAGATGTTTTTTTTCCCGTGTTTTGGGTCATTTGGGGTCCAGTGCTTTTTTTATGCATTTTACCACGTTCCAGTACAGTTCTGTGCAGGACAAAAATGCAGTCTTTTCTACTTTTTGTTCTGGATCCAAAACGCAATGGAACTGCAAGTGCTGATGTGTTCTATGACATTGACAACCTTGTATCTACACTATATTGCCCGCGGTATTGGGCCTCCGGTTTTTCCACGCACATGACCTTTAGTGCCCCCCCAGTCTTAGTCCGTAGGGTTCAATATTGAGTTGGCCCCGCCCTTTCCACGCACATGACCTTTAGTGGCCCCCCAGTCTTAGTCCGTAGGGTTCAATATTGAGTTGGCCCCGCCCTTTCCACGCACATGACCTTTAATGGCCCCCCAGTCTTAGTCCGTAGGGTTCAATATTGAGTTGGCCCCGCCCTTTCCATGCACATGACCTTTAATGGCTCCCCAGTCTTAGTCCGTAGGGTTCAATATTGAGTTGGCCCCGCCCTTTGCAGCTATAACAGCTTCAACTCTTCTGGGAAGGCCGTCCACAAGGTTTAGGAGGGTGTCTATGGGAAGGTTGGACCATTCTTCCAGAAGCACATTTGTCAGGTCAGGCACTGATGTCGGGGGAGGAGGCCTGGCTCGCAGTCTCCGCTCTAATTCATCCCAAAGGTGTTCTATGCGGTTGAGGTCAGGACTCTGTGCAGGACAGTCAAGCTCCTCCACCCCAAACTGGCTCCTCCATGTCTTTATGGACCTTGCTTTGTGCACTGGTGGGCAGTCCTGTGGGAATAGGAAGGGGCCATCCCCAAACTCTTCCCACAAAAATGGGAGCATGAAATTGTCAGAAATGTCGCCTTAAGAGTTCCCTTCTTTGGAACTAGGGGGCCAAGCCCAACCCCTGAGGAACAAACCCCACACCATAATCCCCCCTGCAGCAAACTTTACACTTGTCACAATGCAGTCAGGTAAGTACCGTTCTCCTGGCAACAGCCAAACCCAGACACGTCCATCGGATTGCCAGACAGAGAAGTGTAATTGGTCACTCCAGAGAACACGTCTCCACTGCTCTAGAGTCCAGTGGCGGCGTGCTTTACACCACGGCATCCACCGCTTTGCATTGCACTTGATGATGGAAGGCTTGGATGCAGCTGCTCTGCCATGGAAACCCATTCCATGAAGCTCTCTACGCACTGTTGTTGGGCTCATCTGAAGGCCACACCAAGTTTGGAGGTCTTTAGCTATTGACTCTGCAGACAGTTGGCGACTTCTGCGCACTGTGCGCTTCAGCATGTGCTGACCCCGCCCTGTCATGTGACGTGGCCTACCACTTGGTGGCTGAGTGGCTGTTGTTCCCAGTTGCTTCCACTTTGTTATAATCCCACTAACAGTTGAGCGTGGAATATTTAGTAGCCAGGAAATGTCACGGATGGACTTATTGCCCAGGTGGCCACCTATCACGGGACCACGCTTGGAGTCACTGAGCTCCTGAGAGTGACCCATTCTTTCACCAATGTTTGTAGAAGCAGTCTGCATGCCTAGGGGATGATTGTATACACCTGTGTCCATGGAGGGGATTGGAACACTTGAATCACATGATTGGGAGGGGATTGGAACACCTGAATCACATGATTGGGAGGGGATTGGAACACCTGAATCACATGATTGGGAGGGGATTGGAACACCTGAATCACATGATTGGGAGGGGATTGGAACACCTGAATCACATGATTGGGAGGGGATTGGAACACCTGAATCACATGATTGGGAGGGGATTGGGGGAATTGGAACACCTGAATCACATGATTGGGAGGGGATTGGAACACCTGAATCACATGATTGGGAGGGGATTGGACACCTGAATCACATGATTATGGAGGGGATTGGAGCACCGGAATTACATGATTGGGAGGGGATTGGAACACCTGAATCACATGATTGGGAAGGGATTGGAACACCTGAATTACATGATATGGGGGATTGGAACACCTGAATCACATGATTGGGAGGGGATTGGAACACCTGAATCACATGATTGGAGGGGATTGGAACACCTGAATTACATGATATGGAGGAGATTGGAACACCTGAATCACATGATTGGGAGGGGATTGGGACACCTGAATTACATGATATGGAGGGGATTGGAACACCTGAATCACATGATTTGGAGGGACCAATACTTTTGGCAATATAGTGTACTTTCTGTACATTTTGGATGCAGAAAATATGGAATGAATGTATAAATGTTATTATTATTATTATTATACAGGATTTATATAGCGCCAATAGTTTGCTCAGCGCTGTACATTATAATGGGAGACATTATAAATTAAAGCAGTGTGAACTTCTGTTTGGATTAGGAATTAGCCTCTTGCAATACCTGTACAGCAGAACTCGGACTGGGTGAAGGTGACGCAGCACAAGGAGCCAACCAGTAATACTACAACGCAAGGGGATTTCTGATTGGAGGAGAGTGACAGAGAAATGCGCTCTTCATTGTGCTAATAGGTGGCATCTCTGTCCCAGACAAAAGCAAGCAAAAAAAAGCTTTAGTGATAGGTACACTTTAATGAACCCCTTCACTGCCAGCCCACAGCGAGCGCCGCTTACATTTTGTGTCTTTTGGCTCGCGCTCCCTCCCTCCCTCCCTGCGGCCCACTTCAGGAAGATCTACAGCTTACAATACTTGTTTGCTTGTTTCATTATCTAGTCTTTCATGTGTGATGAACTTTCTTGATTTTTTCCGTACGTTTAATTTAGTACCTGTATCAACAGTGCGTCAATCAGCCTTCCCGGGGAGGAGAAGAGATGAAAGTGAAATCTCAATAGATTCCCTTTAATCAGAGAACGGAGAAGACCGGAGACATTTGTCGAGCAAAAATAAAATCTCCAAGGCATCAAAGCTGCGTGCCGTACCCGGGAAAAAAAAGCCGGCTCTACGAAAATGAGATCCGCGCGCGATGAACTTGTTATAGGAAATAACTTTTTTTAATAAGTAGTCCGAGGTTGTTATTTCGGAACAGGTTGACTTAAAGGGATTATCCTCTGAAGAATTAACTGTTTCCGCGATGCGGATCCAATGGTTGTGATAATGTCCCATAAAAATGATGTAGACTGAGGATTTCTGACTTCACTGCCTTCATACTGGGTCAGTACAGTGTAGTAACTCATGCCTTTGGCAGGGGTGTTGGCAGGCGTACTCCCTATGAGTATGTGCTAGAGCACGAAACGCGTGAGGGAGGAGCTGCAACGTCGTGACCAGGGGCGGATTGGCCATTTGGAAACTCGGGCACTGCCCGAGGGCCCGGGATCAATAGGGGGCCCCATGAGATGCCCCTGGTACCTTTTTCATAGGCTTTTTTGAGTTTGGGCAAGGACACAAGGGCTCCATGATCCCCTATTGCCCAGGGGCCCCATGAGTTGTCAGTCCGCCCCTGGTCGTGACGTCACGCCGCCGAGGCCTCTTTCAGGTCTGGCGGCCATCTTTGAATTCACTTATGGTCAGTTCTTTTTCAATACACCTGTACTGGAAGCAATAAACACCCTCTGAAGCAGTAGTACACTATTTGGCATCCTTTCTTTGGGCTCTTTGTGAGCTTAACCACCCACAGAGCTGTGTAAGGAGGAGGACGGAGGTGCTGCTGCCCACGGATGGTTCAGAGGGGGGAAGTCCAGACCAGGCCGTGCATACCTTTAAGAGGATCTCCGGCTGACCTATTGAGAGTTTATGTTCTCTAATGCGTGATTATATTGCGCATCTGGTGAGTGCGCAATTCTTCTATTACCTGGCACACCACCATATGATTGGATATAGGAAGTGGATCACCATACTCTGAGATCATATTACTGGATCTTCACTTTCCTTTTTGGACATTGTCACTATACTTAGCACCATTAGTCACCTTGAGTGACAGTATATATATAATTTTCACTTAGTCACTTTATGGACTCATATATGTCATAATTTATGGTCACTTTATATGCACTTATATCACTTTACATACTACTTTGATACAGTGATATTTTTATTTCTGCTGGTTTATATGCATTTTATTATTGCCTTTGCACCTTCTGACTTATTGCACTTTATTTGACATTTGATATTTTGATCTCAGCGCTGCACCTGCTTTTTATATTAGTAACTCATTCCCTGCTTGCAGTGCCGGCGGTGTACTTACAAAGGTGATTGCCTGGGGTGGCAATTTTCAGGGGGCGGTGATGCCGCCCCCTGCTGACGATGGCTTCCACAACAAGCTCACCCGAGCTCCCTGGTTTCCCCCACAGGTTCTCCGCTCCTGCCCCTGCACTCCAGGCCGATTTACCTGTCCCCAGCATGCCGAAGAAGTGCTCTCTGCCCCATCCTCTCCCTCTGGAGCTGCTCTTCACACAGAGTCGCCCTCATCTCCACCACTATGTTACATAGTGAGGACGAAACATGTAGGGAGTAACTACAATTACGTAACCAAGTTTGAGTCTCAGTTTTATGCAGGCCAAGACGGCTCGAACATTTTTTTTGTACGACAATTGAAACATCAGTCGTTCGTTAAACCGACGTAACCAACAATGATTACGAAAATCGTCCGTCCAAGTCATAAAAATGATGACCTATAACAGGTAATGATGTAATTTTTGACCTTTCAGACCCTCCCACACTATACAGCCTGACGGAACGAACATCACTGTCGTATTGTACGTACGAAAAATCTGTATATCTTGTACGAAAATGCCAGGCAACATGTCCAAAAGAAAAATTGCCATAATGATGCTTGGCTTGG